GCAACCACCAGGGAGTTCTAAAAGGACGTCCCCGATGACGTTGCCCTCGCTATCAGTCAATACAGGGGATTCGATTCCCATGGACTCATAGCCCATCTCGTTCTGCACTACTGCTATCTTCCTACCGCTCTTGAGTAAGTTCTGGATAAGCGTCGTCTTACCCGAGCCTAGGAAACCCGAAATGACAGTAACAGGAACAGTGGGGACGGACAAGTCGGCGGAAGCGGCTGGCATTCGAAATGAAGACTTTACTCAACTACCAACTTAGTATAGTCTCATTCGAGATCGATATCGAAGTCACTTCCCTAAACAGATATCGAGTTATCGAAATTATGGTGAGTACGAAAGTGCGCTAAGCCGCTCCACGGTCGCAAAATAGCGAGTAAATCACCAGCACGCTGTAGCCCCTATAGTGCTGGTGGTAGGAAGTGCTCATCCATATAGTCCTTCCGAATAGGCGACGCTTTAACACACGAATACCTTCGAGGCACCATGGGATCAATCGATCCAATGTTTTCGCAACGCACGACGTTGTTTCAGGACGCGTGTTGCAAATCGATTATAATGGCGCGCGCTTTTGTTTCGTCTCGTCGTATCGCGTCTCTCCAACTGCGACCCAATTCCATTGCTCCTTGGACGACCATGACCATTGACGTTGAGAAGAAGCTGACTATGTCGCTGGACGACATTGTGGCTGCGGAAAAGTAAATGGTGGGGTCTCTTTCAGGCTCGCTTGAGGTCGCCGCAATTTTAAACTCCTTGGGGAGAATGAACGCTCTTCGTACGACTACTCATTCCCGCTTGTGAATTTATAAAATCTGAGGATCCACCGGAATCACCGAGGGAGTGTCATATAGGAACTCACTCAACGTTGAGAACCTCGTAGTAGTTGCAGGGGCTCCTTGAGAGTTGTGGAGTCTTGTACATGCGTGCTAAATGGTGCCGTATGGCGATCTTCTATCGCAACGACTGTTCGTTATTGTGAACGTTTGACTGTTTGTATTGCTGGTGTGGTCGTAGGCTGTAGGGGGTGGCTTGATGGAATCTATGCGAGTATTAGAGCTATTCATTCTTTGTGTGCATGCGTGCTAATTCCATCTCAGGCCACCCAAGCGTTCCGCTCGGACTCCTACTACTACTACTGGTGCTCCTGCTGGTGCTGGCAAGAAGACTTCTGGACCTATTCGCAAAGGACGTGGTGCTACTATGAAGGTCGCCGCTCAGCCCTACAACAGGTCTTCGGGAAACTATAATCGTGGTCAATGGCAGCAAGGACAACAACAACAGTCTTCGTATGGAAGTGGTGGGAAGAGTACCTGGCAGCAACAGCAGAGTGGTGGTGGCGGTTCGGGGTATCGCAATAGTCAGGGCAGCTATTATGGGAGTACCTCGAACAACAACAACAAGAGTTGGGGTGGCTCTTGGGGCGGTAACTGGAGTGATAACAGAGGGGGCAACAATCAGTCTTGGAATCAACATGATAATCGTGGTAACGACTACAATGACAACAACAACAAGAACACCAACAACAACAAGAACGGCTCTTACTATGCTAGAAATGATACTGGTTATAGACAGCAGCAACAGCAGCAGAACAACAATAACGCCGTAACTCCTCAGCAACAGTCCAGAGGTGGCGGAGTCGGTGGCAGAAGAAGAGTGGTGGTGACCAACATCCCTTACGACCTCACTTGGCGCGAGATCAAGCAAGCCTTTTCGAGTGTGGGGACCGTTGTCCATTGTGAAGTTGACTCATCTGGACCAAAGGGCGCTAGCGCCAATCTAACTTTCTCTGGTACAAGGTGGTGGAGAAGGATGGAGCTCTTGTCGGTTTT